ATCTATGAGAGTGACAGAGACACTCCACTGGCCAAGCAAGATGAAGTCAAAAAATGGCCAGAGGGCACTGACAACTTCCCCACAGTCAGATGGTTTAGGGTGGGTACCATTATTGATGTCTTCCCTGCCTTTACACGTCTATATTATATGCCAGAGACCACATGCAAGGGATTTATTTGGGGGTAAAATTATCTGGTATCTACCGTTATTGTTTTTAATACTGTTGTTGTTGTCGGGTGCCATCGAGTTGGTTCCAACTCACAGCAACCCTGTGTACAACAGAATGAATCACTGCCTGGTCCTGCGCCATCCTCACAATCGTTGCTATATTTGAGCCCATTGTTGCAGCCACTGTGTCAATCCATTTCGTTGAGGGTCTTCCTCTTTTTCGCTGACCCTCTACTTTACCAAGCATGATGTCCTTCTCCAGGAACTGGTCCCTCCTGATAACATGTCCAAAATATGTGAGATGGAGTCTCGCCATCCTCACTTCTAAGGAGCATTCTGGCTGTACTTCTTCCAAGATTCATTTGTTTGTTCTTCTGGCAGTCCATGGTATATTCAAAATTCTTTGCCAACACCATAATTCAAAGGCGTCAATTCTTCTTTGGTCTTCCTTATTTATCATCCAGCTTTTGCATGCATATGAAGCGACTGAAAATACCATGGCTTGGGTCAGGCATACCTTAGTCCTCAGAGTGACATCTTTGCTTTTTAACACTTTAAAGAGGTCTTTTGCAGCAGATTTGCCCAATGCAATAAGTCATTTGATTTCTTGACTGCTGCTACCATGGGTGTTGATTGTGCATCCAAGCAAAATAAAATCCTTCACAACTCAATATTTTCTTCGTTTACCATGATGTAGCTTATTGGTCCAGTTGTGAGGATTCTGGTTTTCTTTATGTTGAGGTGTAATCCATACTAAAGGCTGTAGTCTTTGATTTTCATCAGTAAGTGCTTCAAGTCCTCTTCACTTTCAGCAAGCAAGGTTGTGTCATCTGCATATTGCAGGTTGTTAACCGGGAGGAGAAAAATCTATTTCCAGCAGACAGGAAAAACCAGGACCTGCTAGTCTGCATGGACCACTTAGCAAATCTGTGCCCATCAGTTGGAAAATTGTTTCTATCACCCCAAGGGACCTCACATTCACCTCTGATGCTTTACCAGGCAAAAGAGAGGCAGTAAGCCTCTTAATTTCAACTGTGACACAACTAAAGTAGATTAAATCTGATACGTAATAATTGTTAGACAAGTCTGTTTAAAAAAACTAATTGGAAGCAAAGACCTTCATCTAACATACCTGGTGATGATACCCTCCCCTAATGGAAACACACGTTTGCAGGAAGATAGTAAACAGTCGTCTGAATTCATTAATATCATTGTCCTTCACATGATAAACCAAACTAATATCAGGTTTAGCAAAGTTGAAACCTACTTTATTTTCATTACTGACTGATAGAAACAATCTAGTATGTTGTTAATTATATTAAGAAATTCAGAGATCATTCAAATACTTTTTGCTATGAAAGTACTGTTTCAAAAGTGTACAAAACTGAGGGCAGGTTCTGTTTCATCAGCTTTGAAAGTTTCAAAAATGTATTTTCCAGTCAAGGAGGTTAGAAGGTTATTATTTCAATTATAAGCCTGTTAGAGAGTTTCTTATAAACAAATGGGCTCTTGGAGAATCATATTTTAGAACATTTCTTGCATTTGAATCTTATAAATTATCCAAACTCACTGGTATTTGATGAGTAGTTAAGAGAACATAGACAGAAAAAGGTGGTAATATTAGATTAAGATGAGGGAATAAAATTGGATATAAAACTTGTGTTGTAGTTGTTAGGTGCTGTCGAGTTAGTTCCCACTCATAGCAACCCTATGTACAACAGAATGAAACGCTGCCCAGTCCTGCGCCAGCCTCACAATCGTTCCTATGTTTGAGCCTACTGTTGGGGCCACTGTGTCAATCTATCTCATTGAGGCTCTTCCTCTTTTTCACTGACCCTCTACTTTGCCAAGCATGAAGTCCTTCTCCTGGGACGGGTCCCTCCTGATAACATGTCCAAAGTATGTAAGACAAAGTCTCATCATCTTCGCTTATAAGGAGCATTCTGGCTGTACTTTTTCCAAGACAGATTTGTTTGTTCTTCTGACATTCCATGGTATATTCAATACTCTTTGCCACCCCCATAATTCAAAGGCATCAATTCTTTGGTTTTCCTTATTCATTGTCCAGCTTTTGCATGCATATGAGGCAATTGAAAACACCATGGCTTGGGTCAGGTGCACCTTAGTCCTCAAAGTGACTGACATCTTTGCTCTTGAACACTTCAAAGGGATCTTTTGAAACAGATTTGCCCAACGCAATACGTAATTTGATTTCTTAACTGCTGCTTCTATGGGTGTTGACTGTGCATTCAAGTAAAATGAAATCCTTGACAACTTCAATCTTTTCTCCATTTATCATGATGTTGCTTATTGGTCCAGTTGTGAAGATTTTTGTTTTCTTTATGTTGAGGTGTAATCCATACTGAAGGCTGTAGTCTTTGGTCTTCATCAGTAAGTGCTTCAAGTCCTCTTCACTTTCAACAAGCAAAGCTGTGTCATCTGCATATTGCAAGTTGTTAATCAGTCTTCCTCCAATTCTGATGCTGCATTCTTCTTCATATAGTTCAGCTTCTTGGATTATTTGCTCAGCATACAGATTGAGTAAGTATGGTGAAAGGATACAACCCTGATGCACATCTTTTCTGACTTCAAACCATGCAGTATCCCCTTGTTCTGTTCGAATAACTGCCTGTTGGTCTAAACTCAGGTTCCAAATGAGCACAACAAAGTGTTCTGGAATCCTCATTCTTTGCAATGTATCATAATTTATGTTCCACACAGCTGAATACCTTTGTGTAGTCAATAAAACACAGGTAAACATCTTTCTGGTATTCTCTGCTTTCAGCCAAGATCCATCTGATATCAGCAATGATATCTCTCGTTCCATATCTTCTTCTGAATCTGGCTTGAATTTCTGGCAGTTCCCTATCAATGTACTGTTGCAACCGTTTTTGAATGTTCTTCAGCCAATTTTTACTTGCATGTGATATCAATGATATTGTTTGATAACTTCTATATTCCATTGGATCACCTTTCTTTGGAATAGGCAGCTATGTAGATCTCTTCCAGTCAGTTGGCCAGGTAGCTGTCTTCCAAATATCTTGGCATAGACGAGTAAGTGCTTCCAGCATTGCATCCATTTATTGAAACATCTCAATTGCTATTCCATCAGTTCTTGGAGTCTTGTTCTTCATCAATGCCTTCAGTGCAGCTTGGACTTCTTCCTTTAGTACCGTCTGTTCTTCATAATATGCTACCTCCTGAAATGGTTGAACGTTGACCGATTCTTTTTGGTACAGTGACCCTGTGTATTCTTTCCATCATCTTTTGATACTTCCTGCGTCATTCAATTTTTTGCCCATATTATTCTTCATTATTGCAACTCAAGGCTTAATTTTTTTCTTCAGTTCTTTCAGCTTGAGAAATGCCAAGCACGTTCTCCCCTAACTCCAGGTGTTTGCACATTTCATTATAACACTTTACTTTGTCTTCTTGAGCTGCCCTTTGAAATCATCTGTTTAGCTCTTTTACTTCATCATTCCCATTCAAAACTCATATGTATAAATTCTTATTTTAAGATGCTAAAAAAGAATCCTAGATAATTATGTTCTTCTTTTCTGAAGTGTTAAGAGAATTTAAACCACAGAAGAGAGAACAAAAGAAAAAACTAAACATCTGTGTAAAATGGAGCCACTACAAGCCCACAGACATCAGTACCAGCTGGGCCTGCCTTCGATGTGGCCAGTAATCTTTCCAGCTGTCCCTGCCAGCGTCTACTGCTACCTCCTTAAAGGTTATTTTCAAGTTTCATTTCTTTCCTCAAACCTTTTCTCCACTACCTTCCTATCAACTCTTAGTAGATGAACTAGTTTCTACCCAGGAAGTTGGTGCCATGGAGAAGAAACTCCTTTGATGAGCTGTCCAGTACATGTATCTGCTTCCGTAGACTGCTTTCTCTCCTACTCAGTTGAAGAGGTGTCTCTTCTTTTAGCCAAGGCTAACTCTTCCATCTGTATTCAAGATCCCATCCCTGATCTCCGTCTTCTTCAGAGGGGTACCTGGTTTCTAACCTTGACTTTCTTTTCACTCTATATGCACTGTCCAATACGGTAGCCACTAGCCATATGTAGCTACTTAAATTTAAACTTAAATTAATTAAAATAGAATAAAACGTGAAATCCAGCTCCTTAGCTGCACTAGCTACTTGTGGCTAGTAGCTACCGTATTGGACAGTGCAGACAAAGAACATTCCACTATCATAGAAAGTTCTTTTTTCTTTTAAATTTTATTTATTTTGTTGTTGAGAATATACACAGCAAAATGTACACCAATTCAACGGTTTCTACTTGTACCATTTAGTGACACTGATTACATTCTTTGAGTTCGGCAACCATTCTCACCCTCCTTTTCTGAGTTGCTCCTCCCTCATTAAAATTCACTGTCCCCTAAGGTTCCTACATAGAAAGTTCTTGAGTGTAGAATATACACCATACACTCCCCTTAGCTGATCTTCTCCCATTTTTTCCCAAGGCTTTAAACTACATATAAGCACTTGACATTAATTTACACTGTATGTTAAGACAGTAGATTCAAAGTATTTTTTAAAAAGCTATCGAGCAGCAGTTCTCAACCATGGCTGCATATTAGAATCCCCTGGGTGGCTGTTAGAACTGGTTAAAAGTCCAGGTTAATTAGATCAGAAACTCTGGGGGTGAGTATGCCTCAGATCAGCCTAGAATGTACTTCAAGAAACACAACTGAGGATATTTTCTTTTACTGGCATGTGAAGACGCAAAGGAATGAGAATTCTCCATATAACCTCTGCAGACATTAGTGCCACAAACCTCTCCCATAACACATTTAGATAGTAAATAAAATATCAAATTTCTTACCTGTATGATAAAATGTGAGAAAAAATAGAAGTACTCCCATGAACATATTACTTAAAAAAGTGACAACTCCACAAGTAATTCCTTCTGGAACTGGGTAGACAGTTTCCACAAAAATTTCAAAAAATATAGGTATACTGCTATTCAAGAATACTCCCAGGAGAATACAGGAGGTGTACAATGTCACTAAAATAAAAACACAAACATTTTAGTTTCATGGTAGCAGCAGTGAGTCATATCAAATAAATCTTCTGGGTGTTCTCTTTCATAAGTTACCAGCTCTGGAATTTTATTTCTTTTCTATGGTAGCTGATAAAGTTTGACAAAGCATCACGCATCTGTCAGCTCTTTTCTTTGCTCAGGTTTTCTGGAGTAGGTAGACAAAGGTTTTGTTGCCGGATGATTACCAGTTTATTTGCTTTATCTTTTTGGTAGATTATTCCAAAGCACAAAAATAATTTTATCACTATACTATAATTAAAAGAATTCTTTTCCCCTTAGTCACAGTCCTGACATACAGAGGAATAGATAAAATATAGCCACTTAATTCGAAATATAGACTCATTCTAGAATCTTAAACAGAATTTAAAATCTAAGAATAAATATAAGACATTAAACGTTACTGAAAACTACATGTTTAAAAAGACTGGTTAATATAGCTCTCAAGTACAAAATAAACATTATTCAGTATGTAATTTCCGGAGAAACACTTAGAATTAGTCTTTAATTTTGAAATGAGTTTTGTATCAATTGTTTTTTAAATAAGTAACTTTTTGAGATACTGAAAAAAATTTCACTCAGAAATGATGTAATCAACAGTAGTTAGCCCTATTCTATAGTGAAATCTGTCGAATAAAGATCTTGAAATGTTTAGGTAAATGAATCTCACTACAAATAATTTTATCACTGCCACTGTCTTAATTTGAAGGTGAAAACGGAAGCAATGAGGAAAAAATGATATCCTATCTAGAAAGTCGAAACACATCCCCTAAATCCTAATATCATGCTGCTGTTGTTAGTCACTGCTGAGTCAATTCCTACTGATAATAGTGAGTAGAATTTATTCTAAGTTTAAGACTACAGGGAAAATATTTTTAATAAAAATAGTTGTTAAAAAAACAAATGTCTGTATGGATACTGCAGAAAGTGAGGGACTTACCCTAAATCTGTAATGGATTAGTCATAGATTCACAGAACTTACTAAATTACTAGAATTTATCATAACTGATTGCAATCACAGCAGTCCAAGACATTGTCAAAGGGGTAAAAAAAATACCAGCATCCACTGTTTCCTCACAGAATTTCTCTAATTAACCTCTATTCCCCCTGCCCCATTATGCAAGTCTTTTAGCATGATTATAAAATATTTAGTATATTCTAATAACTCAAATAGCTGGTAATTACTTTGACCTTTTCTTTGAACAGAAGACAGTAGACATGAAAGTATAAGAAAATAAAATGACAGTGAACAAAGAACAGAATGATGGCTACTGCAATGACCAAACTAAATGGGAAGCATCTAATAGTTACAATAAATATCACTTAAAGCATCAAGTAATTTTCCAGGGATTCTGAAATAAAAATAAAACCTAACACCTCATGCTCACTGTATGTTTGCTGGACATAGATCACAAAAAGCAATCTATATGTTCTATTTTACCCATAGCTCATTGGTGGTGCATTAGGAAATCAGGGATGGAATATCAATGGTAGCTCTTCTAGACTATTCTATTTCTAAAATACTTTATAATCATTTATTGGTTAGTCAGTGGTAATTAGAGCAGAGAGGATTATTTATCCAAACACAAATAAGCCTAGGAGTTTAAAACAAGAAAAGATTGAAATCAATGACAGGAAAAATCAAGTCTTAAGAACCAGGAAGCACAGCTCTCAGGAACTGAGTAAAAATTCAGAAAACACTGATGGAATTATTGGTAGCTGTTTTCAGGAAACATGTTTATAAATAATCCTTTCTATATACATTTTTTCTGAAACAAATATATCCCTCACATGTAATTTGTAATCAGTCAAATTACAATGTAATAAATACAAATAATCATAATCTGTATATAACAGAATAATTGTACGTTATAAAAAAAAGAAAAATGCTATTGTAATGATAAAGAAATACTGAAAAGGAGACTGTCAGTGTGGGGTCTTGAAAAGAGAGATTCGACTTCGCTGATTTTTCTCAAGCATGGTACAAAACAATGAGACATGGGATGTGTCAGAAATCTAGAGTATGGTGAAGCAGAAGCCCTGTCTGAAAACCCTCAAGACCAGCCCAATCTCTTGGCCCTCATTTCATGCTCAGTGAGAATCTTCTGATTTTGGTTTCCTAGGTATCTTAATTTTGGGAACGAACTGGGAGAAGAGACATACATAACTGTCTTGGAAAGATAAAATTTCTTTTGTGGTGAAACACTGTTGATGGATCTGTAAAGAGTTCATCTTCTGGTGAGTAATTTGAAAATGCCTATCAAAATAAAAAATGCAGTTACTCTTTGACTAGCAATTCCACTTCTAAGAATTTATCCTACAGCTATACAGGTACAAGTATACAAAGAGCCGTCACTGCAGTACTGTTTGTAGTATGAAAAGATTAAAAAAAAAAAAAAGCTAAGTGTCCACCAGTAGGGGTTTCGTTGTTTAAAAATTTATCAAACATCTAAATGAAGACATACTATGCCACCATTAAAAATGAGGTAACTGTATGTACTGATATTAATTGACAGCAAAGATATGTAAAGGAAGTCTCAGGGTAACACAGACGGTTAAGTGCTCGGCTACTATGCAAAAGGCTGGTGGTTCGAACCCACCCAGAAGTGTCTCTGAAGAAAGTCCTCATAATCTGCTTCCAAAAAGTCACAGCCTTGAAAACCCTATGGAGTAGTTCTACTCCGCACACATGGGGTCACCCTGAGTCGGATTCGACTCGATGGCAACTGCTTTGGTTTTTTTGATACAGAAGTGAAAAAAGTAAGGTGTCGAAAAGTGTGTTATATAAAAAGGATATATATAAATGTTTGTAAATGTATAGAACTCTCTAGGAAAGTACATAAGAAATTGGTAATCAAGGTTGCCTCTAGAGAGGGAAATTGGGGGCCACACGAGGGTGAAACTGACTTTTCACTGTATTATCCTTTTGTACTACTTGGATTGGACTTTTTTTACAATGTGCATATACTACCTATTAAAAAAAAATCAAAGAAATTCCATTGTAGACTAATGAATTGGCATCTAATACAATTTTACTTTATGTGAGTTTGCTAGCCAGCTGACTCAGAAATGGTTACCATTGGGTAAGCTGACCCACAGAGCTGATGTCTACACCTTGAAGCCATACAGCCCAACTTAGATGCAGGATCCTTGGCATAAATATTTCTACTTCATTTATTAGAATTCCTATTATAAGTGGAGCCCTGGTTGCCGAGTGGTTAAGTACTACGGCTGCTAATCAAAAGGTCAGCAGTTTAAATTCATCAGCTGCTCCTTGGAAACCCTATGGGGCGGTTCTACTCTGTCCTATAGGGTCGCTGTAAGTCAGAATCAACTCGATGGCAACAGGTTACAGGTTTAGTACAAGCAGGATAAATGGGCTGAGACAGACAATGTAAGTTCAGAGGCCAGTAATCAAAAAACAAGTATTTTCCTTTAACTTTCTCAGTCTTGGTGCTTGCTTCTTATATTATCATAAAAATGATGATCAACAGAAAGAAAAAATCAAAATGATTTATGCAGGAAAGGGTTAAATTAGATCTTCATAATCAGAATGTGGGGAAGTGAGCTGTGTCAGGACTGATTTTATATATTCCACAGTGTTCTGGGACAGGCATTAAGTAGAAGCCGATTATTATGAGTCTGAATTGACTTCCATTTGAGTTTTCAGCTTGGAGTTTGATACAGTGTCTTTATATGCTGGTTTGGCAGATCCAGTGGGTGAATGTCATCTATTCAAAGTCAGGCAGACAGGATAATTTCCTTCTCGTCAAAGAAGGTTCAAACTACATGATCATTAAATAATTCCATGGCTTTCTATAGTAAGTATTGATACTAAAATTATAATAAACTGCCTTTCAATTAAAGAGTCAAGATAATTTAGCAGAACAAACACAACTGAAGTGCTGAGGCAGATTTTTTTCACAGTAGCTAATAATACTCCACAGGCTCACAATTTAAACTGCAGAAAAACAAAGTCCCGTGTAGCAAAAAATAGTTACAATAGATGAATTTCAAGCATATGAACTGGATCAGAACCCTGAAGTACTCCTAATGCCCCACCCCCACCCCCAGCCCCCCACTCTCAATGGCAAACCAAATTACTAAAATTTAGGGAACAAAATTGTGTTTGAATACATTTTTGTTAACTAAAACACTCAAACCCTGGGTGATTGCAGTTATAAAACAAATTACAGAATTTCAGATAAGAATAAGAACTATTTCCCACTCAACATTTAATGAAACTCTCATGGTATCATCAACAACAACTTCACAGTCTCAGATTTATAGTTTTTTGAACAGTTTTTGAAACTCCTTCCAAATATATTATCGTATTTGGTTATCCTATTGGCTCAGCAGCCATTTATATGCACAAAGTTAAGAAGTTATTTATTAATATTCCATTCTATTAAAAAAAAACTATGTCTAATCATGAGAGTCAACTTGATAGCAACTAACAACAACAACAACAATAATCATAAGAAGCCACATCCTCCCCCAGCATCAGGTGCTGAGTACAGCAGGAGAAGTGTGCTAAAATCGAGTAATCCATTATAAGCAGGACCCTGACAAGCTACCAAAGGTCTGGAAGAGAGTGACTAGGCTGGTAAGAGGTGTGAAATCCACGTCTGATGAGAAACGGCTGAAACAACTGGGAGTGTTTAAAGACTAAGGACAGGCATGACAGATGTCTTCAAATGTTTCAAGGGCTGTCAAAGGAAGCAGGAGGGAGCTGACTAGCTTCACTGGAAGAATTTCCTAGAACCCAGAGCTGTCCAACAGAATAGGCTGCTCTGTGATGCAAAGGGTTTCTTTTTGCTAGAGGTATTCAAGCTGAAGTAAGATGAACATACATCTAGAATGTTACAAAAAAGAGTCAATTATTGAATGATATATAATATGAGGTATGACTAAGGTCCATTTCAGTCGATCAGTAACAAACTTAAGTACATGTAGGTACCTGTATA